CACACATACAGGGGTGTGGAAATTTTTTTAATTAAACGTTTAATATTTTTAACATTGCGCTGTTTATCTCCTCCTCACCCCCCTACCTGTCTCAGCAGCACCACACTCAGGGACTAGCAGGGAGGAGAGAGACCTTGCAGTGTAATCAGCACCGATTGGGTGCTCGTCAGGAAAGGGGAGTGTCGGGCTTCTCCTTTATCTCTTTCACTGCCAGGGCTGTTTTTGGGTTTTATGCACGTTTAAAAAAATAATTTAAGGCCTGAAAATGACACAAAACCCCAATATTATATATTTTCTGAAACTGGAGATTCTAGAGAATAAAATAGCGCTAGTTACAATTTTTTATGTGTCACACGTATATTTTCACAGGAAATGCAAAATTTCAATTAAAAATACACTTAAGTTAATTTTAGGGCACACAAAGCCATACATTTTCCAACTTTTTGTAAAATATAAAAGATGAGGTTGCAGCGAGTAAATGGATATGGATCCAACTTGTCAAACCGTGCACTCGTGAAAGGTAACAAACTTCAGTACCCTATATTTTCTATAGGTGGCACTTTTAAATCCCCTTATAAGTCATCAGTTTAACGTTACGTAGGAGGTCTGGTGCTAGAAATATTGCTTCTCATTCTGGTGTGCGCGGCAATATGTAATGTGTATCACAATCAACGTTTTCATGTGTAGGCATCCCAGTGTATGTTTTTACGTTTGTGCGTGTGTACATGTGTGGGGGTGGGGGGCCTTGAAAAAAATTTTTTGGGGGGGTTATAGTATATGCTTGGGTGTAACTTTCATTTATAAAAAAACAAAAAAAAAACTTTTTTTTTTCTTTTTGTTTAATCACATAGAGGACAAAAAGTCCCCCATGTGATGATTTCTTGGTGGCAGGTGCTCTTTTGTGAGACATCCAGGGTCTAAAAGACCCTGCATGTCTCCCCTGTGCTCCTCTGAATGTAATGCAGTGCACATCGCACTGCATTACATTCTTTCCCAGCCTCAATTATCGGGAATCTGTCAAACAGGGATCCGGAGTGACATCATTTCTGGGTCAGGACAAGAAGGGGAGGAGAGCGGATGTGTCTGCTCTCCTCCCTCCCCTATACCACATCCTGCCGGCACCCACTGAACCAGTCCTGGGCCCGCAGATGAGCAAGCGGAGCCCAGGACATATGGTGGGCAGGGGGCAGAGGCTGGCACTGTGGGCTGTATGGAAGCAACTGGGCAGCAGCGCTGCTGCCCCAATGCTTCCACCTGACAGGTGAAACTTGCTGTTTGCCCACAGTAGGGCCAAAGAACTGCATGTCCCGGGCATTGGGTGATATGAATTGCACATCCTTGATACTGTATATATATATATATAATATATATATATATATACAGTATATGTATGTGGCAGTGTATCTTTGAGCTATGACTAAGCGCTAGTGGAGTGTAAAACACGTTAGCTGGAGTCCTGTATCCCTGTCATATTTGTGGAATATGCTATAAGAAGAAATAAAGGTGATTTTAACCATTTGCCATCTGCCCTTCAGCAGAAGTACTGCTACAGGGCAGCACGGCTGCACAAAATCACATATATATATATATATATATATATATATATATATATATATATTATGATCTGCCCTACACTCGCTGCTATTGGTGGCTAGGGATGTCCCAGCTGGTGATCGTCGGCAGAGCTGACAGGAGAGAGACCTGTGTGTAAACACTGGTCACTCTCCTGTCAGCATGGACATTCTGCTTTGTATCTCTCTGCACAGCAGAGAGATACAAAGCAACATGTCTGCTAAGTAAAACACCATACAGTACACAATGTAAAACACACACAGCACACTATTAACCCTTTGTGCGACCCAGATGTTAACCCCTTCCTGCCCAGTGTCATTAGTACAGTGTCAGTGCTTTTTATTAGCAGTGATCACTGTATTAGTGTCACTGGAGATGTCAGTGACCATTAGTCAGTTCCCACCCAGTCTCAGAATGCCCGATGCAGTCCCGCTATAAAGTCGCTTATCACGGCCATTACTAGTACATAAAAAAAAAATTCCAGTATACAGTATATACTGCCATTTGCAGACAGTAACTTTTACGTAATCCAATTAATATATAATTATTGGGATTTTTTTTTTAGTTAAGACATGTAGCAGAATAAATTTTGCCCTAAATTTATGATGAAATTAGATTTTTTAAATTTTTTTATTGGATATGTTTTATAGCAAAAAGTAAAAAATATTGCTTTATTTCCAAAGTTGTTGGTCTTTTTTTGTTTATAGTTTATAGTTGATCAAACACCACCAAAAGAAAGCTCTATTTGTGGGAAGAAAATGACATAAAAATTTCATTTATGTACAGCATTGCATGACCACGCACTTGTAATTTAAATTACCACAGCGCCGTATCGCACAAAATGGCCTGGTCAGGGAGGGGGTAAATCCTCTGGAGGGCAAGTGGTTACTGGATGTGCAACATTCGGATGTTTGTTTGTATACAAAGCAACCCCCATGTTATGGAGATGTGAAGGGAGGTGTTCTGTAGTCCAAATCATGAATGAGCAGGCCAGGTAACAACATGGGATTTATTTACTAAAACCTGAAGAGTGCGAACTCTGGTGCAGCTGTGCATGGTAGCCAGTCAGCTTCTCACTTCTGCTTGTTCAGTTAAGCTTTAACAAACAAACAAAGAAAAAGAAAAGAAAAAAAATTGGGCCAGTCCAACATAAAACAGACTGGGAAGGCAGCAACCAATAGTGTAATACCATTTATGAAGCATTACAAACAAATAAATCCACATACAGTGTTATTTGGCTTGTACAACACAAGCAAAGAAGCATATGCAGACTCTTTGGAATGCTCCTGTGCTTTACCAACTGGAAGTTACAAAAGAGGAAGTGACATCAAAAACTACAGTACTCCCAACATGTTTCGTCAGTCTGATATCATTAGGGAAAATTGAGCAAGACCCTTTTCGGTGTTACCCAAGCAGACCCAAAGCTGTGGCCAGGCTACATAGGACCCACCCTGCTCTTTACTTTGGACACAGGAAATGCTTCATCTGAGTCTCTGCTGTACTGTCTTGCAGAACCCTTCCAACCGAGTTACCTCTCCCTGGACTGATGGGAGAGTCCTGTGTAAGTTGTGCACTTACCCCTTGCTGTGTCATTGTCGTCTCTGTGATTCTGGTGCATGGTCCCTGATGTATTGTATTGTTACCACTATGATTCTTCTGGACTGCTTCTGCTGCACTGTACTGCTGCCATTGTGATTCTGAACTGTCCTCATTGCACCATATTTCTATCACTGGACTCTGGACTTACCCCTTTTGCTGTACCATATTGCCACCCTGCAATCTTGCTAGTTGTCACTGGCTATGCTAGTGCTGTCCTGCCTTGCATCTCCTTGGACTTTACCCCGGCTCCACCCATCACCTCTGTGTACACACGGTGGATTCAACTTTTGTCTGTGGTAGTATTATATCCTGTGTTTGTGGAACCCCTTAATAAAGAGCCCCCGTACCAAGGGTCCTGAACCTGATCTCTGTGTGTTCTGTTCTGTCCACACCTCCGTCACAGCTGCCATCTTAAATATCATTCCAGTACATATAGTGTTGCACAGTACAAAAAAAAAACTCCGCCAGTGCTTATCTACTATTAAAATACCTTTTCAATGTGCCCAAAAATTATGCTAATAAACCTCTTATGACTTGTGCTTCCAAACAAAATATCCATGTGTACCTACTCAAATGTCCGTGTGTACCACTTTAAATGCAAATACACATCAATAGTTGCAATAACAACCATAATTGTGCTCATATGGGCAAAAATGTTAAGAAATATTATGTTGACTTATCCACGTGTCCAGCTCAGTTATCTGTGTGTACCGCTTTAAAATTCCAATATCCCTCTAAAGTGCAACAGTGATCTCAAAATGTGTATGTAGACACTGTATATCTTAAATATGCACACAGATAGCTCCAAACAAATATGCATATTATTATCCATGTGTACTAATGAACACTACGCATATTATTATCCACGTGTACTAATGAACACTATGCATATTATTATCCACGTGTACTAATGAACACTACGCATATTGTTATCCACGTGTACTAATGAACACTACGTATATTGTTATCCACTGTACTAATGAACACTACGCATATTGTTATCCACTTGTACTAATGAACACTACGCATATTATTATCCACCTGTACTAATGAACACTACGCATATTATTATCCACGTGTACTAATGAACACTACGCATATTATTATCCTCCTGTACTAATGAACACTACGCATATTATTATCCACGTGTACTAATGAACACTACGCATATTATTATCCACGTGTACTAATGAACACTACGCATATTATTATCCACGTGTACTAATGAACACTACGCATATTATTATCCATGTGTACTAAGGAACACTATGCATATTATTATCCATAAGACGCACTTTTTTGCCCCCAAAAAAATGGGGGGGAATGTCTGTGCGCCTTATGGAACGGCCGGCCCAGTATTCCCCCTCCGCCGCCGCCATGTTAGAATAACGGGTCGGCCACTTGGCTATACTGTGCAGAAGAACCTGCTCCTTGGTCCTACCTGTTCCTCGCTCCAGCGGTGTCCTACTTTCACCAGCCGTCTTCTCTCCCTGGCGCCAGCATCTTCAGTGTGGGCACCCAGGTGTGACAGCTTGTGGCTTCACAGCCGGGTGCCCACTGCGCATGCGCAAGATGTGCTGCGTCTTGTGAATGGCCACCTGTAGTCTTCTTGGACCTGTCACGTGTCCACCAATACTACGGGGAGACAATTCTGTGGAAGAGGGAGCGGGTACCTGTCAAATTTGGGTACCTGCCCCCCCCCCCACTCCCCAAAGGTCTGCAGTCTCTGGTCATCCCCTGTACTACGTCTGCAGTCTCTGGTCATCCCCTGTACTACGTCTGCAGTCTCTGGTCATCTCCTGTACTACGTCTGCAGTCTCTGGTCATCTCCTGTACTATGTCCGCAGTCTCTGGTCATCTCCTGTAGTACGTCCACAGTCTCTGGTCATCTCCTGTACTGTGTCCGCAGTCTCTGGTCATCTCCTGTAGTACGTCCACAGTCTCTGGTTATCTCCTGTAGTACGTCCACAGTCTCTGGTCATCTCTTGTAGTATGTCCACAGTCTCTGATCATCTCCTGTAGTATGTCCGCAGTCTCTGGTCATCTCCTGTAGTATGTCCGCAGTCTCTGGTCATCTCCTGTACTATGTCCGCAGTCACTGGTCATCTCCTGTACTATGTCCGCAGTCACTGGTCATCTCCTGTAGTATGTCCACAGTCTCTGGTCATCTCTTGTACTGTGTCTGTAGTCTCTGGTCATCTCCTCTACTGTGTCCGCAGTCTCTGGTCATTTCCTGTACTATGTCTGCAGTCCATTGGTTCAGAGTATTTTTTTTTCTTGTTTTTCTCCTCTAAAATCAAGTGCATCTTATGGTCAGGTGCGTCTTATGGAGCGAAAAATACAGTAAGTCCTTATCTTGATCCACATTTTCTTCCAGGATGCCTTTAAAAGTGAAAATTTTTGTTTATTAAAATTCTTACAAACAGCATAATAAAAACATATTTACATATATACAGAATAAATAAAAATAAATATATATAAATAATCAAAATTACCTTACTGCAGCATAGAAAACTGCTTTTGTTTTGCCAGTAACATCATAAGCAGCACTAAGTACACAAATCAAAACATATTTTATATTAGTATGCCCTTATAAGTGTACTGTCCACATATATTCAATTCATCCACACGTACCACAGCATGTAAGAATATCCAATGTTTTTCCACTTATCACCAGTGCTTTCAATCATATAGCTTATTCAAAGTGCTTGTCCCTTCACCCCAAAAGCTAATGCTCTTATCTTGACCATAGACTAAACAAATAGTAGATTATATGCACTTTTCCTGTAAATTCTTATAAGCTACAGCATCGATCTCCACTCCACCCTCTATTAACTTTACAATCCAGCTCCATCCTCCATATTTCTCCAGACCAGGGCAATGGAAAACTCAGGAAAAAGAAGAACATATAGTGCTGTCTGCTTCCAAATCATTATTTATATTAAAAACCTGTTATATTTAGTTTAAGAAGTGCACTCCACAACAGTGCACTGAAGATTCTGGCATACAAGGTTTAGAAAATCACCAAGACAATGGCCACTCACACACTTCTGGTAGCGGCATGACATCACCGGCTCCACCCAACATGTTGCGTCAATTGTTTCCTCAATCTGTCACATCTGCAAAATCCCCCACTCCTTCCTTCCTTCCAGCCCCCCAATTCACAGAGCTAACATGTCACATCAGACAAATCGGTAAGGGAGATTTCCTTTTTCCCGGGCCCTGGAGGATATCATGCCCTGTCCCCTCCAGAGATGTCAAACCAGCCCCTACAGCTGTACACAGCTCCGGATATAGGATCTGTATGTGACTGCAACTCATCACATACAGATCATCTGTGACAAGAGGAACACAGCAGGCAGTGACTGGAGTGACTGTAACACCCCAGGTGAGAGAGTCAGCAGTGACCGGTCTTTAATATAGGGGGAAAAGTATCATACTGGATTACTGAATAGGTCTTGAAGAAATTCACAAAGCACAGCAATATTCCAGTAAGAATACACATGACTCTTGTATTTAGACAATATTTGCTTATCACAGAGTTCAGCCTTGTCTGCCCATCACATTTCAAAGAAATACGAATTTTTCACCATGAAAAGATTCCCAAATGCTGCGTCTTCCTAGAGAAGGCATCTTGCACAGTTTTTTAGAGATCTGAACACAGGTGCATTGTTTTCTATGGAACATTGCATTTTACTTCACAAAGATCAGTAATGCAGTGATGGGTTTACTAGACCCAAAACATACATTTTGTTTTAGTTTTAGCTTTAATTTACACAAATACGCTTGTAAATGCATGTAATATATGTAAGTTGCAACACTGGCAACTAGAAGAGGATGAAGAAGAATTTTACGCATGCATAACCATATGCCCATTTACACACGTATACCCAAGGTTTTTATGGAACACCCTTTTTTCTTTTTCTTTTTTTTTAATCGGGATCTTTCTGCCAGCAAGATCCTGCATATAAACATTAGTAAATGTGCAAGATATTGTATAGGTAAATAAATCATTGTTGATCAATATTGATTCAGCCCTCATCTACTTTCAGAATTTCCGGCCCGCTGGCAGTTCTGTCCTGCATAACCCAGGAGCAATTTTGTAAGTACAAGGATCTTCTGTGACATGAATGTCTTGAGTCCTACAGCTGGCTTGATGGTGTGGTGTTTTTTTTTCCCCATTGTAACCCAATTCCAGCTGCCATTTTTATAGAATTGAGGCAAGGAAAAGCCTCTGTCTCCACTAGCAGCCCTGAAGAAATGGCGGTTGATCCGTGGTTCTTATGGCCATCAGACCCTTTGCTTCTAAACCAATATATAGGAATACAATATTCCTATACAGAGCTATTACACTATTACACTACTCTGCTCTCCATTCCACAGTGAGCTGAACAGACCAGCGATTTGAAATCAGTCATTTCCATAAAGTGGAGTGCGTGGTGCCGTGGCTGAATGACATGCTGGTCTTCTTCACAGTGTCGCTGCAGTTCTGCCAGCAACTGAAGGACAAGGTAAGATTCTGGCAATATGCCCTGCACACCAACTAAAATGTGTGAGAGCACAGTGTGGCCTACATGCATCACATGCTTTGCACCCATGGATGATACGCCACTGGCGGCTGGGTCTATATTAAAGGTAAGGGTCTGGAGCTGCAGTTCCAATAGCCCCTACATTAATCTGGCCCTGATAACCGGTGTTTAAGATAAAATAATTTTGAGAAGTGGAGCTACGTTTAGAATTGTTGTAAGCAAAATTCTGCTATAGGAAGATAGTCCATCCAGTCATCCTGAAGATAACTGACAAAACACAGAAGATACTGCTCCAGTGTTTGATTGGTCTTCTCGGTCTATCCATTAGACTGGGGATGAAAAGCAGAGAACACATTAATTACATAGTTACATAGTTAGTCTGGCTGAAAAAAGGACAAAAGTCCATCCAGTTCAACCATTAAAAAAAAAAAAAAGTTATAATCCTACACCCACAGTTGATCCAAAGAAAGGCAAAAAAAGAGGTAATTTATCAGCTTTCTTTTTACCACAGACATCATAGAACTCTTGGTATTGTGTATGGAGATTGTCATATAGGCAGTTACCACATCAACTTTTAATTCCTTGATCGGTGGAAAACTTGTTTGACAAGGTTGTCTACAATGTTCCTTGCAATGGGGGTATGGGTAGAACAACCTAGGAATATCCAGGATGACAGGAACTTTGGGTGACTTAATCATATGAAAGCTGATAGTCTCATGATGGTCAGCCTCAAATTGGAATTCAAGAGGAACTGTTTCATGGGTGATAGGTCCTGAAGATAAAGGTCAACCATCAACTGCCTCCATATCAATAGGGGCAGATTTATTTCTTGCTTGAATATTATTGCTTTGGGCAAATTCAATTCCCTCCAGCTTCGGTGTCCAGCATAGCTGAGCAAAAAATGTCATGGCCCTCGTTGATATATTTAATAGGGATGACAAAATGACATATTAGGGAATTCACGTTTTTTGTTCATGGATCAATGGGGAGACTGGGTAATAGAGTTTATTTGTTCAGGCACTATAACATCAGTTGCAGCAACTATATATAAATATAGACAACTTCTCAGAATGTCTTCTCTCTCTCTGGCTCTTTTAATCTTTTAAAAACATCAAGCTGCATAGGTTCAGGAGTGTTAGAATCTACAGAAACTTTTGGATCCATTTGAAGAACGTGACTAGCAGAAAACCAAGCTATTACTTTCATTTTTTCCCAGTCTCTCCTTCCTCTTTTGACTCTGATCAATTCGGATATATAATTGGTTGAAAACCTTGAGATCATTAAGGCTGGATTCACACTGATGCGGTGCAGAATTTGAAGCGTTTTCTGTGCGAATTCCGCACCGCATCAATCGCACCCTGTTCATGCGAACCGCTGAGGGTGTGAATGTTAACAACACCCAAAAATTGGTCCGCAAAACACGGTGCGATGTGCAGAATCGGATCACATAGGTGTGAATACCCATGCGATCCGATTCTAGTGCGGACCAAAAAAAAGGGTCCTGCACCTTTTTGGTGCGGTGCGATTAGAGCCATACAAAATATATGGCTCGGATCGCACCGCACACAAATCGCATGTGATTTGTACAGGAATGCGGTGCGGTTCCTGTGCAAATCACATGCGATATACCGCACCACATATATGTGAACCCAGGTTCAAAGTCTTTATTCTGCATGCATCATACATACTAGGGGTAGTACAACTGGGGGAACCAATGGTGGAGAAAGATCTGGGAGTTCTGGTAGATCACAAGCTTAATAATGGCATGCAATGCCAAGCTGCAGTTTCTAAAGCGAACAAAATCCTCTCTTGTATTAAAATAAGTATAGACTCCAGAGAGAGATATCATATTACCCCTGTACAAATCATTAGTAACACTTCATCTGGAATATACAGTTCAGTTCTGGGCACCAATTCACAAAGTGAACAATGGGGAGGAAAGATTAGGGGAACTGAATTTATTCTCTCTTGAGAAGAGGAGATTAAGGGGGGATATGATCAACATGTATAAATACATCAGTGGTTCATATAGTGAACTCGGTGTCGAGTTATTCACCCTGAGGTCATCACAGAGGACAAGGGGGCACTCTTTATGTCTGGAGGAAAAGACATACAGTACAATCTCCAAACACGGATCATGCTTTGCTGGGTTTTTTTGCCTTCCTCTGGATCAACTCTGGGTATAGGATTATAACTTTTTTTTTTAATGGTTGAACTGGATGGACCTTTGTCTTTTTTCAGCCAGACTAACTATGTACTCTGGCAAGCTCATCTTTCAACTATTCAGAGGGCTGTTGGTAGAGCTGACTTTTTTTGCGCTGCTGGGTTACAAGTAGTATCTAAGATCTAACGTCAGAACTCAGTTGTGTACTCGGAGTGGAGTGTCTACCCTGCCACAAATTATTCAACTTTGCTTCAGCAGTAGCATGTTGATTGGTTTCATTAAAAACTTGATTCATTGCAAAATTATTCAGAGTTGCGTTGTCTTGTTCTACATAGAGGGAGATCCATGCTAGGACTTCCTCATTCAGAAGGTTAATAAAAAAAACAATACCTTCTTTTTTTCAGAAGTAAATGCAACACTGTGCATTTGGAAATATACGGGACACTGATTAAGGAAACCTCTGTAATGGCCAGGGCCGTCATGGGGGGGGGGGGGGGGACAGCCCATACACATGTAAAGGGTCCAGGGGCAGAAGTTTCTGGGAG